AAAATAGAAATGTAAAAATAATACATACTTAACATGAGTCAGGCTGTGGGCTCTGTCTTTATAAATATAATTAGATCTTCCTCAAATGTTCATAAAATTGTAATCCACATTTCAGAAATGGGGAAAATAAGGCCCAGAAACATTGCGGCCTAGGTCTGAGGTCACTCAGGCAGTGCAGGGGAGGCAGGGTTTGAACCTTGGTCGGAGAACCCCGATGAGAAAGATGACAAAGTCAACTTTTAGAATCGATCCAACTATCAGTGTTGAGTCATGAATCAAATTTCCATATAGCATGAGTGTTCTAACTGTGGAGACTTCAAATAAAGATGATGTTCATCTTTTCTCTAGTGTTAGTTGAAGTTTGAAAGTATTTATGTCTTTATTTGAGGAAAAGGAAAAAAAAAAAAAAACAAGACATGGGATTAGTTGCCCAGCTGGATGTAAAACCACATTCCTCAGTGTCTGGCACAGAAGTTACTGAGCATTCCCTGTGGCAGGTCTTGTATTGGAGCATGGAGACACGGATGGGTGGTGAGTATTTCCTGCAGGAAGAACAAATTTGGGTGAGAAAGACAACAGCAGTATTAAAGTATTTAAACTGTGGTTAACTCAAGAAATAAGAGAATATAATGATCAAGTACACAAAATTTGATATGAGAGAGAGAAATAAAAATGGCTCTGAGGAAAGTTAAATAATTGTACTTTTTGCTATGTACAAATAAGTATGAAAATCCCTTCTGTGGCCTTAGGGAACTACAAATATTCAAAATAACCCCAGCAGAGAAAAATAAAATGTAAATGGAACACTAATAATGGAGAAAAACTGAAAAACATTCAGATATTCTCCTAAGTAAAAACAAGGCCAATTTCACGGATGAATTTTATAAAAGAACAAAACGTATGTGAAAATACGCTTACACTAGAAAAAACAGTAAATTCAACAATGATGTGCTGATGTATTTTACCTCTCATATTAGCAACGTTTAAGAAGTTTCATAATATTTAGTGTTAATTTCTACCAAAATTTTAAAACTGTCATGATACGACAACTCCACTTCTTTGAATTAATCCTGCAAATTTCACACAGAAATATGCAGACTTGGGAAGCTTTGTCTGTCATAGCAAAATACTACTAATGACCAGATGATGATGAATAAAGTAGTGGGAGATAATCATGATCTATGAAATTCATGAAAATCCATGCAAATATTAGAAAGAATAAAATCCGTTGACATGAGTTGGCATGGAAGCAACTTGAGGAAATATGATTAAATGTTTTATAAAGCAGTGTAGAGGACTAGTATCTCCAATATGTTTTTTTTAAAAAGTAGATAAAAAGGTAGAGAAAGAGCTAGACCTAGAATGTGTTGTGTGTGTGTGTGTGTGTGTGTGTGTGTGTGTGTGTGTGTGTGTATTCATCCGTGAAACTGTCTGACAATTAGTTAGATAGTTAGTCAGATAGATGGAATTAGAGATACAGCTAGGAACAAGGATAGATGTAGGGATGGGAACAGAGGTAGGTGTGAAATAGATGTGGCTGCTGAAGTGCATATGTGCAAAGAAAACCTCTAGAGGAGTAGACAGGAAGCTGTTGATACTTTTTCACTAAGGAGCATGACTGTAGATTTAATATCAGCTGCAGACTAACAATTATTTGTCTTTAAATTATGAAATACATTAGATGTATACACATCTAAAGCATAATACAATAAACCTCATTACTCCCCCCAACCACTTACAGAATGAAACATTACAAAAATGTTGCCCTGTGTGGCCTTCCCTTCTCCTGTCTTTTCTTTCTCAAGGTAACCCTGTCTTGACTTGGTGTTCCTAACATTGGATATATGACATTCTACAGGGACAGAGGCAGGTGTTCAGGGGTGTGAGGAAGTCCAGCTGGGGCTGCAGGCTAGCCCCACAGTCTCCAGGGCACCAATACAGTGGTACAGTTAAGATACATATACTTGTAAATACACACGCATATATTGATCTGTAAAAGTAGGTTATCATTGCATTTTTACATTTGTAGAACAGTAGCATAATATATGTATTCTTTTACAGCTTTTGTTCTTCCTACTGTTTTTATTATTATCTGCACCCCCAGGCCAATATGTTTCTTCAGTCTGTTTTATGGTTCTTTTTTGGCTTTTTAATCTTTTTTGTACATGTTTAATACTTTTTCATACGGAGGCATGTATTTCCCAGGCACTCCCTGTCACTGCTAACAATACTCTATGGGATAAAGAAACACCAGTGCACTGCAGGCTTCCTCTGTTGCTGACTTCTGGGTATTTCCATTTGTACTCATGACATGTGAAGCTGCCGTGAACATTCTTGTGCCCGTCTCCTTCTGCACGTGGTTGTTCTTCTGGGATATGTACATACAGAGGAGTGGAATTGTTGGGTTGTATCATGCGTACATTATCGAAGTTGCTCGATGCTGCCAGATTTCTCTTCAGTTTACAGAAATACTTGCGTAGCATTAGAATCCCACTTGCTCGACATTTGAACCAACATTTTCTTTTGTAGAACTTTTACTGTAGCTTATGTTTATAAAACAGTATCACATGAGGTCTTAATTCCCATTTCCCAGTTCTTACCAAGATTGATCATACGTGGTAGAAATGACTACTCAGTTTTCCTCTATGTCAAGGCACATGGAAGCCTGTGCTGTGAAAATTTACATTTTTTGTAGG